TTTCTGTTCTCAGAACCTGTTTGTTCAGATTTGTGGTTTTGTCTGTCAATGGAGGCCCAAGAAGTTCCCAGAGAGGGGACTTTGACTCAGGACAAGTGGAGTTCTTGGCTTGTGTGACAGTACCTACCAGTCAGAGACAAAAGGTTCATTTAGGAAAGCAGAGACACATTCAAGGGTGCACACAGGCCATCTGGGGCGGGGGGAGACAGCAGCCCCCGGGTGTGGGTGTTGATATTTATAGTGGCATGGTTACTAGTGGCTGGGCTAGAGGAGGAATCGGGTGGAGTTACACAATTTCGTGCCAGTTTCCCTGAGCCTGCGCATTGTCCTCATGTTACTGTTTTGCAGTCAAGGGCGTGGGCCCAGGGTGCAGGCTGGGGACCTGAGCTGGGTTCTCACTAAAGCTTGTTTTTTTTTTTTTTTTTTAGAGGAGCCTTTCTGTCGGTCAAGAAGTGCAGTATCATTGTGTTTTGTGGGTTTTTTTTTATTATTGTTGTGGTTTTGATATAGAGAATGAACACCTGGGTGGTCCACCTCTGAGCTTCATCTCCTGCCCTTTTAATTTTTACTTAGATACAGGATCTCACTAAGTTACCCTGGGTGCCCTTGAAATTGAATTTCTCCTGCTTTAGGCTCCTGAGTAGCTTGGATATAAGCATGCACATATTATTACACACAAAAAAAGATAGAAAGGCATCATGTTGCTTCTAATAGAATTTCACTGAAAGAAACTTTAAGAACAGCAATGCAGGAAGAAAGAAAATAGATCCAGTGTAAACCTGTGAGATCCAAAGTAAAAGGAAACTATAATAGTTTATAATATGCTATGGAGGCCAGGTATAGTGACAATTAATGTAAATAACTTAAAACAAGATGCACACACAACAGAATATTATTCCCAATATATTTGCTAAGTATTTAGATTATTTTGTTCTAACAAAAGAATATTCCTCTGTTAATAATTTTTCTTCAGAGGGAAAATTTTATGAACTAAAGAAAACTGTTTTAATAAGGATGGCAAAGTAGCTTCACATCAGTTTAGCCAGAAGCTGAACTTTCTCTCTCCATTTGGTTTGCATAACTTTTATTATGTGTGTGTCAGCACTTATCAGCACCAAAGGACTGATGGTGCCATAGCCATTGGCCACAAGCATTTGAAGACACAACAGGATGGGGTCACCAGTCCATGTCATGCCTACAAACAGTGAAAAGATGGAGTCCACAAAGTACAAGATCTCAAAACAGCTGATGAGCAACAGAATAGTGTAAGTGGCCCTTTCTTCTGGGGATCTTTGTGGAGAAAACCTGGAGGTACAAAGAGACATGGCTCGTTTTTTATGTCTATGCAAAAGATTTATCATGTATCCACTTGAAAGAACCATAATACCCAGAAATAAGAGATCTCTCAATGCCACCAAGGCAAGAAAGAGGCTCTTGTGTCTGTAGCTCATGAGCAGAAGGGAACAGTGGTCAGTGAGAAACAGAAGACCAGGCTGGGTTTTATTGGGTGTGGCCACAGTGCATAGGAGCAGGTTGCTGGAGAGGGACATGGTGAGGGCCCATAAGAAGACAAATAGCCCCACAATTGGATTTGTGGATTACAGTTTGAAGTTGGCCAACCAGGAGCCACTGGGACTAATGATGATGGCCTGAAGCACACTCAGGACACAGGTGGTGCAGATGGACAGCCCCCTCATGACCTTGTGCAGGAAGACAAGTACTTTGCATTTGAAGTCACCTGGAATGTCCTGTGTTTCCCAAATGTCTGTAGACACCAAAAGGCCCATGGTGAGGAGCATGAGGATGTGTGTTAGGGCCAAGTGGGTGACAGGGAGGTCGGTGAGCCTGGGCTTGTGTCCCATAAAGACTGTGGCAATGTGAAGGCAAAGCAGAAAGATGTTAGCTGCGATCCCAATGCCAGCCTGGGGATAGAAGGCTTTTCTTAGGGCAACATAACTGAAATGTTGGTTCATCTTCATTGGGAATCTGGGGAGAAAAACAGGGGCAGTGAAGAGCAACACCTTTTTTATTGCCATGCTTCCAGTTCTACCTTCCCTTACAATCTCCAGAATTATCATTTAACAAAACAACAAAAATCTTTGTGAGTAGGGTAGGCTCTTAGTCTTAATGTTAATTTCAAATCAATGGCCTGGTGACTCCGTAGTAGAGTGCTGGCTTAGCATGAATAAAGCCCTGGTTCCATGCAAATCACTGAAAGAGAAAAGAAAAAGTAAGTAAAAAATAAGTAAAGAATAAATTTCACCTTAAGCATCATGCATTCTTCTGAAGAATGATTTTGCATACCTCCCATTCATCACTTGGAAGTGATGAGATTTCACGCCTCTCTTTGAGCCTGTATACACCATGTTTTCTGATGTAGCATAAATCATGTTATTTAATGGTGAGCTTTTGTTTGTTTTTCAATCTTTCCTGCAGCTTTCTCTATGTGAAGATACTGCCTTCTCAGGCTTGCATGTGCCGTATCTGAAACACTGTGGCTTATATAAAATTTATTTACCATAAGCTGTGGATGTAAAGTTTGGATAAGCAGAAATCAGAATCCTTCAGGAAAATAATACCAACAAGCCTGTCCCCATGGATTATTCAAGTGCAGAATTTTAAGGGATTTAGTAATTTCTGTCCTCTTCTCCCATGACCTTTATTTATCTCAAGCCCCAGCATTGATTAGCTGGGGGAATGCTTTCACTTCACCTAGGTTTCAATTGATTTCATGGGAAAATGGCAACCAGCTTATACTTTCCTTGTAGCATTTTTGAAGTGAGTAATTAGATATGTGTCTGACACATATGAAGCACTGTAATACTGTTCATAATCTTTTTGTCTCTAATCTTAGTGTGGAGTGTAAATGTGATATATTAAGGATTTCCTATCAGATTTAAGAAATGACAAATTGATTGGTTTTCTTTGACAAACTTTGATCCTTGGATTCTGTTAGTATTGTACAGTTATTTCTTCAAACTTTCAAATTACTCCATGCAATAAATATAGATGTTTTCACATTCCATATCTATTCCAGGAAAACAAGGACACAGCTGGTGGGTTCTCCTTTACAATTCTTATCTCTGGTAAGTAATTCTACAGTATGTTTTTATTCTCAGAAGTCTTTTGTATTAGAGAAAATAGCCCTGCTATCTCCATAGTAATGAGGGATGCCTTACTAGGAATATCCTGTACAAATTATTCAGTCAGGTACTAAGAGAAGTTTAGTTGTTCAGAAGTGGGAACTGACATCAATTGTCTTTCACTTGATTTTTCAGATGTACATGGTAAACTGCACATTGAATAGGATGACCATGACTCTAATTCTGGCATCTCACTCAATCTCATTAATCGTTAATCTCAGGACTTAAAGTTTTTGATCTTTGTGACCTTGTGAAAGTAGTTATAACTCCTTCCAGAGTCTCCATATGAGCAGTGAGAATGATGGAATACATAATGTACTTTTTATTATACTCTCAAATTTTATCCAAATAACTTTATAAAGGAAGGCAGAGTTATTGAGAGTCCATATCCTTGACATAATGCTTATGAAATACAGGCAAAACACATAAACATTAATACAGAAACACAAGAGATTTAGTCATGACAAGGCAAAGAGACCATCTTGGAGTGTCCCAATAAAATAGTATCAGGATGAGGCTCTTCAGATACTTTTAATTAAAAAGCTGAATCCAGGGCTGGGGTTGTGATTAGCAAGAGAGTGCTTGCCTAGCATGTGCAAGACACTGAGTTTGATCTTCAGCACCACATAAAAATAAATAAGTAAAATAAAGGTATTATATCCAACTATCATGAAAAAAATCTTTAAAAAAAGCTGACTCCAAAGAAAAGAGGAGTTCACACTAATTTTGGCTGTTGGTATATTACTCTACAAGTTATTTGTGTGTTTTCTAAAGTAGAACAGAAGATAGCATTGCAGGGTTAGAAGAGGAGAGAACAGGAGGAGTGCTATCACAAAACCAGGCTTACCTGACCTGGAGACCCAGTGGGAAGCCTAGGGCTATTTGTGCAGAAAGCAGCAAAATTACTTTAACCTAGAAAATAACCAGTTTTTTAACCTCTCAGGAGGTACCCAAGGGAATAGATTACATATGCACTCATATTAAATGCAATGAAAGGCTCAACTTCAAGGTAACCTATAGCCAATGCTTAGGTATCAGGACCTGTCAATTCAGCCTGTCACACTGCAGTTAGAATACCCATCATCAAAAAGAATAAAGGACTGCCCCCATGAACAAGGTTGAGAACAGCTAGAACTCTTCTGGAATATTCCTTATAGAGCATTCCTTATATGGCTCCTCTTACAGCATATTCACTCAGGCCCTGAAACACCAGGCCTTTTGTCTCCTTCATGAAATATCAACAAGTTTCCAAATTGAAGTCATGCTCCTATCAGTGGCCATATTTAGATATGTGCAAACCAGGATGTAAACATTCTGGTCTCCACTATTATGATCCAGTCACCATTTCCTTCTTCTAAATCATGAATTGCTGAAGATTTTGCTTAATTTACTTTAATGAACATGCAAATGTGAAGACTGCAGTAATTCAGTGATGGAACAAAACTAATTAGAAAGTGTTTTGTGAAGGAATTTTTCAATTCAGAATATGATTAGTCAAGATTTGGGTGGAAAAAGTGGTGGAAAGTATTTTAGAAGAGAAAAAAAATTGTCTTGAAAGTTAAAAGACATTTTTCTGTAAATTATTGTAATCTGCTCTCTTTACTGCAAGAAATTCAGTGCAATTATAACAAAGGAATTTGTCATTTTAATTCTAGATGCATTAATATATTTAATATAAGTAAAATTTTTTTACTGGTTCATTTTAGTTGTATACATGACAGTAGAATCCATTTTAATATAATTATAGAAGCATGGAATATAGCTTATTCTATTAGAAACCCATTCTTGTGGATGTACTTGATGTTAAGATTCACTGGTTTGTTCCTGTATATATGCATAGGAAAGTTATGCACAATTCATTCTGCTGATTGAAAATTTCCTCAAAGTCTATTCACTTTGTTAGTGATTATCATTAGTAAAGAATAACTACAGTTCATAGAATAGCTGGGAGAAAAGAAAAATTCTAGAAATTTTTCAATATGCCAACCCTTAGTATAGTATTACTATATGTAGCATATAGTATAGTATGTTTTATTTTATTATAAACTTGTTTATTCTATTATTTTCCTGTCTCCCTGCATCTTTAGGTCAATTTACAAAGCATAAATGCACCTACAGTAAATATCTATGTGCAAAAAAGAGGAAGATAAAGTAATTCTGATGTAATGTACTAAGGACATTTGAAAGAATACAGTGTCTTTTTTTCATGTAAATATACACTACACATTTTTTGGAAGTTGTTACTCAAAATAAGATATATTAGAAATATTTTTAGCAGGTGAGTCTGTGAGCTTATAAAATATCAAATGAGGTTTAGAGACATTTTAAGTTCTGGAAAATAATGTAACACTAGAAATTGCTGGCCTTTAAAATTATTATAAATTGTGAGTCTTTATGGTTAAAAAATCACTCATGTAAGATAATAATATTTGTAATATTATAAATAATAACAATATTATGAATTTTAAAATGAGAGAATGAAAATTCAGATCATACTATAAATTCAAAGAAGTGCTGTAGCACATTAGAAATAAATACCTGTGCCTGGATTTGAAGAAGTAAGAGGCAGACTTCAAAATGCATCCCTCCAGTGCCGACAACGCAGTCTCCTCTGCCTCCTCTTTCCACAGAGCTGAGGCTTCCAAGATGAGGTTTTATGGAACAAACAGCTTTAGCTCTTCTCTCCGAGGACTGATAATCTTGGTGTTGAATCTGAAGTCTGACAGCACCTGTCTTGCAGTAGGCAGGGAGGGAGTCCCCAGAGGAAAAAAAATAGATTCTTCCATTATCAGGCAATGATAAACAAGCATCATCTGGATGAAAACTTTTTACATGTAGCTCTCACTTTTCAAGGTCAGAGTACACTTGGTTATTATTTGCATAGAATTCATAACAAACAAGTTGAGGGGCTCTTCTACTGATGACAAAGAGTCCTGGCCTAGAATAAAATAAAGTGACCAAACAAAAATAACTAATGTCATATTTACATTCTCAGATATGTCAGCTCTGAGTAATGACACCCCTATACAATGAATATGCCTCAGAGGCAGTTTTGATTTCTAAATGCCTTAAACTTGAGAAGAAAATATGGAGAGTGATGTGGGACATCTTCTAGCAAGAAATCCAGGAAGGGAGCCATGGTGTGAGGTAAGTAGGAAGAAGGAAGAGAAATGAAGGAAGGGAGAATTCATGACTGAGGAGTTTCTCTGGTTGGGCATGAAGACAGGTTAAGGGCCTCCTCAATGAAGGAGCCACTTTTCTCTTCATTTTGGTGATTTTTACTGCCATTAATAGGTCCTCAAATTGTCCCCTATTGTAGTCCCTGTCTCCACCTCTCTCACCTAAGCCATGAAAAATATGCAGCAGAATGTTGCCTTCATTAAAGACAAAATCCACCCGAGAGGCCCATGAGCCACACTTGTGTCTGGAGGTAATTTCTTCAGCTTTGGCTGAAGGGTGACAAACAACTTGTGTACATTTGGGGGGTGACAAACAACTTGTGTACATTGATACAGCAGGAGTGGGAGCCGTTTATTGTAGGACAACAGAGGTATCTATAATTCCACACAGCTTATCTTAATCAACATAAACTAGATACAACAGTCAACCAATAAGGAATCTCCACACTTAATGGCTCACTGGCGTTACTTCACAAACCACACCCTCTGGCATTTTGCCAGGTGCCATCTTGATTTGTTTACAGACCCTAACAGTAAGAAGGTCACTTGGGAGCAAATGTTTACTGCTGATACTTCACCTGAATGGAATTGTACCATAAATGATCTGTTCTTTTTGGTTTTGTTTACTTAGTTTAATATTTTTGAGACTGATTTATGTTGTAGGATGTATCAGCATTGCTTGTTTTTTTGGCACACACAAAAACAAATTCTCAAGAAATAAAAAATTCTCAAAAAAGACAATTCAGGAAGAAAGAAAATAACCTCAGATTAAGGGTCTGAGATACAAAATAAGTGGAAATTGAAGAAATTCATGAGCATGCATTGAAGATAATGATGAGGGGATAGGGAGAAAGAACACACAAGCTTTGCACTAGCCATGGAGGTTATCTTGTTGAGAAAAAAGATGTTGATGCCTTATTATTATTATTATTATTATTATTATCTGTACAGGAAAATTAATCTGGAGAGGGTTGAACACTCAAGTGCATCACCAGCCTTTTTTTCCCTTTTTTTTTTTGCCTTGGGACAGGGTCTTACCAAGTTACCCAGAGTGGCCTCAGACTAGAAAGCTGCTGCTTCACCTACTGAGTGGCTTGCCTTACAGCTGTCCTCCACATGCTTGCTTGTGATTGTGGAGCAATTACAGCACAGCTACTTAAGAGAAAAAGGAACAATATATCTCAAGTGGAACTTCATTAAGAGAATCTTTAAGAAATAAAATGCAGGACAAAGAAAGTATACATATTATAAAAGTCTAAGATACAGAATAACAAGAAACTGTAAAAATCCATGGGTGTAAATCAAGACTGTCCTGCAGATATAGGGTAGAATTATACATAAGGCCTTAGTAGTGATATAGATTACTTTTACTGACCTAAAATTGAATATATTACATTAATTGTTTTTCATTCAGAAGGATAATTCTATAGAGAAAATTGTCTTAATGAGAGGGGCAAAGTTGTCTTAGGCCAGTTTTGTCAGAATCTCATTTTGTTTCTCCATTTAAATTGCAAAACTTTTATTATTTGAGTGTTTGCACTGATCTGCACCAAAGGACTGATTGTGCCATAGCCATTTCCCACAGCATTGTGGATGCATACTAGAATGAGATCATTTCTCCATGTCATAGTTATGAACAATGACATGATTGAGTTTACACAGTACAGGAAGGCAAAGCAGCTGATGAGCATAAGAATTGTGTGAGTGGACCATTGTTCTAGGAGGTTTTTGGGGAAAACTTGGAGTTACAAAAAAGAATGGACCATTGTTTTATTGTGTATGTGTGTGTGTGTTTTCTTACATATACTTAGGATGATGATGTTCATCTCATTTCATCATCTTTTCTACCCATGTGTCCACTCCCTTCTCCTCCCAACCCTTTGCCCTATCTAAAGCTTATCTAATCCTACCATGCTCCCCCACCATCCCCATTATGAATCAGCATCCTTATATCAGAGAAGACATTCAGCATTTTTTGGGGGGGAGATTGGCTAGCTTCACTAATCATCATATTATCGAACTCCATCCATTTACTTGAAAATGCTATGAGTTTATTCTCTTTCAATGCTTAGTAACATTCTATTATGTATATATACCACCTTTTCTTTATGCATTAATCTACTGACGGACATCTGAATTAGTTACACAATTTAGCTTTTATGAATTGTGCAGCTATAAACAGTGATGTGGCTGTGTCCCTGTAGTATGCTGTTTTTAATTCCTTTGGGTATACACCAAAGAGTGGGATAGCTGGGTCAGATAGTTTCCATTCACAGTTTTCCAAGGTATCTCCATACTGCTTTCTAGATTGGCTGCACCAATTTTCAGTCCCACCAGCAATGTATAGGTTTGCCTTTTCACCCACATCCTCAGCAACACTTAATGTTGTTTGTCTTTATAATAGCTGCCATTCTGACTAGAGTGAAATAAAATCTTAGAGTAGTGTAAGAAATAATAATAATAATAATAAGAAGAATCATAATAAAGGTGACACAGAGACAATGAGTAAAGGCAGGAAAGTGGCAGAGTGGCTGAGAGGCCAGATGCTAAGCTTTATTTATATCAACAGGTTACATTAGGTCGTTAGAACCTTAACTACATTATTGTTAAGGATGTCAATAAGGTTGCTTATTTTACAGCTACATTTCACAGTTATATTATGCAATGTTAGTTTTATGCAGTTCTCAAGAAAGTTCATTGTCTGAAGTTACTGTTAGGCAGGCAGATCCAGGAGCCCCACAGCTTGGTGAGACATTGTAATTACCAAGCAAGCAAGTTCCTTTTTTCCAGAAGTCATGTGCCTAAGATCAAGGTCAAACCCTCTTGAAGAACATTTCTACATCAGCCAGGCATCCTGTGTCTTTTACATGGAAGTTCCCCAGGAGCCAGACATTGTGTACCTTTGCACAGAAACTTCGTAGCCAGCAATGCCACAATCACAAAATTCATCAGAAAAATCATCTTAAGCACAGAACCACTACAGCTCCCCTTTCTTGTTTCTTTAAGGCCTTTTGCATAAATAACATTTGTTTCCTTCTTAATGCTGGTGGAGGCAAAATTAGGGTAGGCATTGACAGCAGAAACCAACACAAAACAATCCCAGTATCAGTAAACATCCACTTAGGAATAATTTTTTGACCCACGTAAAGTTGGGTAACTATGAAGTTAGCCAATCCATTAAGTCTAAACCTCCATCATCTTGTCATACCTTATCAATGATGTCTTTAAAGTAATCTAACTTCTTTGAAATAGAATTACTGTTATCACTTAAGTTAAAGCAACACATATTATTAAGCTCTTGAGATCCTTTATTATGTAACCATAAATAATCAATTGTGGCCCAATTGTTTAGAATAACTCAATAATGTGGTTTTTGTTCTTCATTAAGCATTTGGATTGCCATAGAGGTAAAATTAATATTTTTTTTACCACAGCACATGCCTGTTTCATAGTTGTTTAGTAAGCCCTGACACCTAGTCCAGGGACACTCACTAAAGAAAATCACAAGGCTTTCAATTCTGCCTTAGAGAGAAGTTTACTGAATCATCACAGTTTTCATCAAGGGGAAAAGACCTTTTATGGATGCATTATGCAGGATGGTGGCCTATTAAATCCTGTGGGGATGGTAAGAACACAGCCTGCTAAGAGGACAACGGGTACCATGAGACAATTTTGCAGGTATATGACAATTTCAGCCAAGTGAACCCAGATATTATAATGGGTTTTAGAAATGAAGGAGTCAGACTATACTGAACTTTCATAGCTGGGGTTCAACAACAGAACAACAATATTGTTAAGACTGAAAAATTTATAGAGTTTGTGTAAGTGTAGCACTCAAAGCAGTAACTAAGTTTTCTGGAGTATATTTTAACCCTATTTGAGCCAACAGCTATTGAGCTGAGGTTGTTAATGATTTCATATCTCCTCAAGTCACTGGAAGTCTAGTAGCTTGGAATCCTCTTTCAGAGTGCCTTCTCTTTTGAGGAGAGTGATCCTTGTCCTTTTGTTTGGTGAAATTCTCCTCATCCACAATCAATGAAACTTGGGGATCAGGTTGTGAAGCCCCTGATGTCCACTCATAATTGGAAGGACTCACACAGTCAGCTGGAATCTAAACTGTACCTGTTGGTGTAAGTATAGCAGTCAATCATTTCCCATGTGATCAGAGGCATAGGGGCCTGTATTCCTGGGTTTGGTGGAACCCTGTATTTTACATAAAATTTTTGTAATGGCTGTTTGGGAATAAAATGTCTATCCAAAGCAGATGACAAATTGTGACTATTTTTATTGCATATAGACTGTACCAACTATAAAACAATATCTAAAGCATTATTAATATGAAAGAGGCTAGATTTCTTTTATGTTTTTGTTTTTGTTTAAAAAGTTAAATTTTAAGAGTACAATGTGCTCATTTAACCAAAGTCTGTCAGTAGGATTATTAGGGATATTATGATTCAAAATTATATTATTTTGATTATAAAATTGTGCAAAAGCATGAGATGTATATGTGGAAGGCATTGCCCACTTTTAAATGAGCAGGTTTTCCCATGGTGGCAAAACAAAGAATAAGTGAGAAATGCAAGTACATCGCTTTTTAGACCTATGGGTACCAGCCCAGGTGAACCCAGAATGAATATCAATGAGAACATGAAGAAAGGAGTAAGGCTAAAAAGGAGGAAAATGGGTAACATTAATTTTTAAAGCATATTAGAATGTAGGCCTCATGGACTTACAGACTCCCACATAGGGGCCCAAAAGTGTATGCAATAAGAACAGTTGTTAACTAGAGTATGAGCCTGTTGTGAAGAGAGAAATCATCTTTATTAATGATTGAGCATTTTGATGAAAAAATCCAAGGAATTTTCTAGCCTCTGAAAATAAAGGGATTTTATAGCTTTATCTGCATGAGCGTTACCTTTCATCAAAGGTTCAGGACTTTTGGTGTGGCTGAATATATGAGAGAGAAAGATGGGAGACACATGATTCTGCAAAAGAGTTTAAAGGGCTAAAAAAAAGAGAGATAAAAATTGGGATCCAAACAAGGCCATAACACAGCTATAAAATTTTGAGGAAGAAGTTTAGTTACATATTGAGAATCTGGAGTCATGTTTAAAGTAGTAGACAACAATCTTAGTGCCGGGATAATGTAGTGAACTCAACGTGTTGTGGAGAGACTTGGGGTTGAGTATAATAGTCCATTTATCATCAGTAAACACAAATATTATTTTTGTTTGTTTACCTCCATCTGTACACATTGTTATTTCATCTACAGAAGGAACAGTAGAAATCAAGGAAAAAGGAGAATGTGTTACCTGAGATACAAAGATAGTCATCCATTTTGAGG